TGGTCACCCACTGCAGCCGGTCCTTGCTCATCAGATACTCAAAAGCCAACTCCAGCTTCACCTCGGACTTCCCCGGGCTGCTCCCCGAGGGGCCGTTGCTCATCGGCACCTGCGAGGGTGGGCACTGAGCCCGGGAGCCGACACAGGGACACGGGGCAGCCCCCGACACCCTGCCCCGCTCCCACTGCCCGTCTGCCCCCACCGCAGCAGGTCCCCCGAACGTCCTCGCACCCACGACCCCTCAGCCCCAAAGCGTGACTCAGACCCTCCCCAGCGGGGCTGGAAGCCGGGGCGGAGCTGCCCGGTCCCCTCAGAGCCCTCCCTGCTCGCCCGGAGCGCGGCACTCACCGAGGACGTGACCCGCCAGCACCGCATGCGCGTCACCTTGAAGCTGCCCTCCTTGATCTGCTCGCTCGGCAGCCGCACCTGGAAGTTGAGCTCGTTGTTGCCAGCGCTGACGACGACGTGGCATCCCTTCTCGGGGAAGTCGGTGACGCAGGGGTCGAACTTGAGATAGCCGTAGTACTTCAGGGTCTGCGCCAGGCGGATGAACTGCGGGGCAGAGCCAGGGGAGCTCAGCCCCGACGGCCGCCTTCCCGCCATGGACCCAACGCACCCACGGGGCCAGCCCAGAGCTGGGGCTGCTTCCGCCGCAGCACCCTGCCCTCCCCTACCTCCTTCTTGGAGACTTTTTCCTGCAGGGATTTCAGCTGCCGGTGCTGTTCCTTGTTGACAAGGATCCATCCGTGCTCGATGTCTGACACCGTCTACCAGGAAGCGGGGCCAGTGAGCAGCAGGGCCCAGAGCCGCCCAAGGCCCCCAAGCGGCCAAGACCCCGGCTGTAGCCGAGGGGTTCATTGCCCCCCCCAGCCCCCCCCACTGGGCCGCACCGACCCTCACCTGCGCATACAGCAAGTTCAACCCCACACGATGCTCCATTACGTCATCATCGTAAGAGGAGTCCCAGTAGCTAGAAGGGAACCACATGGGTCAACCTATTCCCCAGGTCCTAACAGTGACCAGGAGACTCTCCCCCCACAGGCTGGGGCGAGGCGCCAGGCTGGCTCTCTGGCCAGCTGCTCTGGTAGCCATCGGTGGCCATGCCCCACATTTCCTGTGTCTGGGAACGTGGGAACAGGCCAAGCCCAGCAGGGCAGCCTGGCCCCAGAGTCATGGCCCCACTCAGGTGTGTTCCTGGGGGCCAAAGCACCCCGCGGGCGGGGATGGCAGGAGGGGAGGGGTCCCCCTGCAGAGCAGGGAGCCCCAGACCCCTCCCCGCTGCTCCAGCCTCGCTGGCCCGGCCACTCACCCACCTCTTGCGCAGGATGATCCTGAACTCAGGGTTGTGCAGGCTGGTGACGGACACGTACGGCAGCTCGAACTCCTGCAGCTTCCGCACAACTGCGGGGAAACAGCAGCTGAGGGGCAGCTCAGGGCGGCGGGGGCCCACCGGCCCCCCCAGCCAGGGCAGGGTGCAGGGCAGGAGTCCCACCGCAGCCCTTGTGGGGCTCCAGCTCCTACTCACAGGAGAAAGCCCCATCCTTGGTCTCTCTCACTAGGAAGAGGCTGAAGTAGCCGACCAGGTCATCCGGCAGATCCAGCTTGGAGGCCACAGCCTGGGAAGGAGAGCAGGAGGTCAGCACTTCCCGCGGAGAGGCAGTGCTTCCACACCCTCACCCGGCGCAGGACCCAGCCTGCGCGTTCCGCGGCCTCCCCGCAGCAGGAAGGCAGCGCCTCTGCTGCGCGGGGGAACAAGTGGGGCCCTGGGGCACCACGGGGAGCTTCCCAACACGGATCTGCGCCCCGAGAGGGGCACAAGCACGTCGGCGCACCCCTTCAAGCTCCATGGCTCTTCACCACCCCGAGACAGCCCCACTCTGGGGTAGGGACACAGTGGGGGGGCCAGGGGGCTGCCAGGCTGAGGGAACTCCTGCACAGAACACAGCAGGAGCTTGTCCCACCCAGCGCGAGAGCTTTGGCACCTCAAGAACATCCTCTGTCTGGTCCGAGGTCAGGATGGTGACCTTGACCTTCTGGCCGTTGGAGAGCAGCACTTCCAGCACCACCTCCTCCGTGGGGATCTGCTGCGTCTCCTGGAGAGAGAAGTAGGATTGGGCACCCCGGGCCCTCCGCCGCCACCCGGCCTCGCCCTGCGGAGGCT